TGGCCTAATATTGTAACGAATTAAAAACTTAGTTTTTATTTTTCTTTTAACTTTTTGTAAATGAACTATTTTTCTTAATAAATTATCTGTATATGTATAGTTATTTGAAATTCTCTATCCATGTTGGTAACAATATCCAACTTTGATAAATTTATTAATTTCTTTTAGAGGTTTCATAACTTATACTAAAATAGTAATGATGGGTGGCTTGGTGGCTTAATTATATAGAGTGCAGACAATAGAAATAGACCATTTTTACATTTAACTTATTTTGAGATAATTGAGTTTAATCATTTGTTTTGATTTTCAGACTGATCTGGGATTAATCAAATTTTACAATTTTGATTGGCTAAAGATAGCAGGTGACTATCAGATAATCTCATGATGTGTTTAGCTCTATGAAGCCTTGTATAATTTTTCTTTTACATTATCCTGATTTTTTATTATGCAAATCGACTTTCATTTATAATTTAAAAATGTTAATCATGTCAAAATTTATATGAATCTAATAAAAACTCAATTTTCAAAAAAATGTAAAAATGGACTATTTCTATTGTCTGCACCCCATATGAATATTACTCAAGGCATGTATAATGCGATAGTAGGTACATAAACATAGCTGTTTAAACCTGTTATAAAGGCTATTTGTATATTTACAATGAAATGATTAAGAAATAGAAGAGTGAACGTCCCATAGCTAAGCAAACATAGCTATAGAGGTGTAAATTTAGCTGTTTAAACTTGTTACAATCATCTACATGTGTAATCACAAGAAAATAACTTAGAAAGTGAGTATGTAAACGTAGCCATGGTTGCATAGACATAGCAGAAGTGGTGTAAATGTAGCAGTTGGGAAGTAAACATAGCCAAAATTCAAAATGTATTTAAGAACCTAAAGTTCTAGGCAGTAGAATTTAGAATTGGTTAGTTCTACTTTGATAATTAATAAAGAAAACCATCTCATCCTTAAATAATTGTTTCGTTCTCGCTTGAATAAAGTATATACTTATCTGAATATTCCTTGTATATTATTTTTCTTGAATCTGACTTGTAACTTTAATAAACCCTTTCAAGATTCAATTCAACAAATTGAATTGACTTGTAACTTCAACTTGGATTATTAAGACTCAGATTCTGAATTATTTATCATTATACCCATCAGTAACTTGTGGGAATTGTAGTAGGGAACACTATCTACAACCTATTATTTGACTTCAATAATCTATCACATAAACTAAAAGTAATCCCAGTGTTCTTGATCATTGATCGCTTTTGTCCTAATTGTAATTCTTGAAATCATCCCTCTTAATTAAATATCCTTAAACTATTATCATTGTTCCTAATATCACACTCTTACTCACATTGTTTACAGCATCACTTATAGTTGCATCGCCCCCTTATTATCCCCATTATTATTAGAGTATTCGTTATCATATCCTTCTGTCTCTTCTGTTTAGTACAAATATAAAAAACCCACTTCGACTTTCTAGTTGCCTTCATCTCACTGTATATTGTTGAAGTTAAATTGGCCTTCTATTCATATTATTTTTATAAGCTCTCCCAACAATGGTTACAATTGATGCTGATTATGTAAATTGAACAGTCATATTCTTTAATAATTTGCAATAAAATCACTAATACCCACCTCTAGTGAAATTGAATTTTCATCTTTTTTATTCATCTATAATAAAAACCCAATAAAACATCATAAGCTAAATTCTACTCCAAGAAAAACTAGTAAAAAACTTACATCAACTCAGAAAAAAGTTATGGTTCAACAAAATCCCACTTAACAACCTAATCCAGCAAACCTGCCCAATGCTCTTGATAATCTCGCAGCCTAAATCGGGGCCCTCGTCTAGCAAATGCAAGTCACTCTAGCTGCGCAAATTAATTATAATGCGCCTCATCAGAAATTGAATCTTGTTATATATCCTGACTTTTTTGAAGGAGATCAGGATTCTATAATCTGGTTGGATGAAATAGAAAAGGCATTTGCTGCTAATTTGGTAAATAAGTATCACCATATCCCTATGATTGTCCCACACCTCAAAGGATCTGCAGCCACATGATAGTTAACCACCCAACATTAGGTTAATTCTATCAACATCTGAAATGACCCTGCTCAGCTGAATTAGAGTTTCTGCTCCAATTTCGTCACCAAATTTCGTACTCCTACTCTAGAAGGCAAATGGTTTGCCCAGTTAGCCACTAGGAAGCAACAATTAAATGAAGATGTCGACACTTACTATACCACTGTACAAAAGCTTCTCCAATGAGTTGAGTCGGGTGGGCATCAATAACTTGACACTGCAAAAGCCCAAATTTTTCTTAATGGGTTAAGATCTGAGAATATCCTTGCAATTGCTCCTTTCACCTCAAATACGCTTTAAGCTGCTTATGAATGGGCCAAGGCTTATGAGAGTGCTTGTTAGCAAAATCTTTCCTATCTCTCCGCTTCGTTAAGTGCTCTGTATTCTGCTTAGTCCGGCCCCTCTGCTTTTGTTGTCATCTAACCTCCAGTTTTTACCTCTGAATAGTGATTAAAAGTTGACCAAGGCTGTCAACAAGATGCTCATCCAGTTACAGAATTAAAGATCACCTAATTCTGAGAACACTAGTCAGCCGGTGTGTTATTGGTGTGGTTAGCCTGGTTATATTAGTTAGAATTGTTGGATGACAAATCTCCAACCCAATTACTCTTCTAATCCAGTTTTCTAAAATCAGTCATTAAACCTACCCCAACCACAGCCTCTATCAACCTTCTCTCTAATCCACCTTCATCTATATCTATGAATCCGGGTCACAATGATGTTCTTGAAAACTGACAACAAGAAACTCTTCAACCCTACTAGCTTTAGCTGTCAGTTTAAATTCTCCCAGTGGTCAAAGTAATTAGCACACCTATGTTAGTATCCTTGCAGAAGATATTCTCTTATTTGCTGCATGAAAACGGTAACTACAACGATCTAGTGGTAACCTCCGCTCTACCAAATATAGAAAAGAGAAATTAGAAGAAGAGGAGTTAGAGGAGGAAACTTTAGAGCAATTAATAAAAGAGGAGATAGGTAAAGAAGAAAAGGTCAATAACCCCTCTGAGGTAAATACAGATTCTCGGCTGCCCCACCTAAGGTCACTATTGTTAGGCCTAAATGTGTTGTTTGTAAAAAGGTCTAAGAGGATGAACTTCTCCAAATTGCATCTTTGGTATCCCTCTATTTGATCATTATAGATATTCAGGAAAACCTGCTGTTATAGAACAGTTTTATTTTATTAGTTATTATTTTATCTTAGTATTATTTTATTATTTTGATATTTGTATTTTA